AACAAAATTCTGTCTGAACCCGACTGTAGCCGACAAAATTCTGTCTGAACCCGACTGTAGCCAACAAAATTCTGTCTGAACCTGACTGTAGCCCAACAAAATTCTGTCTGAACCCGACTGTAGGCAACAACATTCTGTCTGAACCCGACTGTAGCTGACAAAATTCTGTCTGAACCCGACTGTAGGCAACAACATTCTGTCTGAACACGACTGTAGCTGACAAAATTCTGTCTGAACCCGACTGTAGCCCAACAAAATTCTGTCTGAACTCGACTGTAGCCCAACAAAATTCTGTCTGAACTCGACTGTAGCCCAACAAAATTCTGTCTGAACTCGACTGTAGCCAACAACATTCTGTCTGAATCAACTGTAGCCATCAAAATTCTGTCTCAACCCGACTGTAGCCCAACAAAATTCTGTCTGAACCCGACTGTAGCCCAACAAAATTCTGTCTGAACCCGACTGTAGCCAATAAAATTCTGTCTGAACCCGACTGTAGCCAACAAAATTCTGCCTGAACCCGACTGTAGCCATCAAAATTCTGTCTGAACCCGACTGTAGCCAACAAAATTCTGTCTGAACCCGACTGTAGCCAATAAAATTCTGTCTGAACCCGACTGTAGCTGACAAAATTCTGTCTGAACCCGACTGTAGCCATCAAAATTCTGTCTGAACCCGACTGTAGCCAACAAAATTCTGTCTGAACCCGACTGTAGGCAACAACATTCTGTCTGAACCCGACTGTAGCTGACAACATTCTGTCTGAACCCGACTGTAGCCATCAAAATTCTGTCTGAACCCGACTGTAGCCATCAAAATTCTGTCTGAACCCGACTGTAGCCCAACAAAATTCTGTCTGAACCCGACTGTAGCCAACAAAATTCTGTCTCAACCCGACTGTAGCCATCAAAATTCTGTCTGAACCCGACTGTAGCCATCAAAATTCTGTCTGAACCCGACTGTAGCCATCAAAATTCTGTCTGAACCCGACTGTAGCCCACAACATTCTGTCTGAACCCGACTGTAGCCAACAAAATTCTGTCTGAACCCGACTGTAGCCATCAAAATTCTGTCTGAACCCGACTGTAGCCATCAAAATTCTGTCTGAACCCGACTGTAGCCCAACAAAATTCTGTCTGAACCCGACTGTAGCCAACAAAATTCTGTCTGAACCCGACTGTAGCCAACAAAATTCTGTCTGAACCCGACTGTAGCCCAACAAAATTCTGTCTGAACCCGACTGTAGCCAACCAAATTCTGTCTGAACCCGACTGTAGCCCACAACATTCTGTCTGAACCCGACTGTAGGCAACAACATTCTGTCTGAACCCGACTGTAGCCAAAAAAATTCTGTCTGAACCCGACTGTAGCCAACAAAATTCTGTCTGAACCCGACTGTAGCCCAACAAAATTCTGTCTGAACCCGACTGTAGCCCAACAAAATTCTGTCTGAACCCGACTGTAGGCAACAACATTCTGTCTGAACCCGACTGTAGCCCAACAAAATTCTGTCTGAACCCGACTGTAGGCAACAACATTCTGTCTGAACCCGACTGTAGCTGACAAAATTCTGTCTGAACCCGACTGTAGCCAACAACATTCTGTCTGAACCCGACTGTAGCTGACAACATTCTGTCTGAACCCGACTGTAGCCCAACAAAATTCTGTCTGAACTCGACTGTAGCCCAACAAAATTCTGTCTGAACCCGACTGTAGCCAACAAAATTCTGTCTGAATCAACTGTAGCCATCAAAATTCTGTCTCAACCCGACTGTAGCTGACAAAATTCTGTCTGAACCCGACTGTAGCCCAACAAAATTCTGTCTGAACCCGACTGTAGCCAATGAAATTCTGCCTGAACCCGACTGTAGCCAATAAAATTCTGTCTGAACCCGACTGTAGCCAACAAAATTCTGCCTGAACCCGACTGTAGCCATCAAAATTCTGTCTGAACCCGACTGTAGCCAACAAAATTCTGTCTGAACCCGACTGTAGCCAATAAAATTCTGTCCAAACATAACTGTACTTGGAAAAACTGTCTGTATCCGACTATAGCCACCAAAATATTGCTTAAACCAGATTGTAGCCCAACAAAATTCTGTCTGAACCTGACTGTAACCCAACAAAATTCTGTCTGAACCCGACTAGCCAACAAAGGTCTGTCTGAACCCGACTGTAACCCAACAAAATTCTGTCTGAACCCGACTAGCCAACAAAATTCTGTCTGAACCCGACTAGCCAACAAAATTCTGTCTGAACCCGACTGCAGCACACAAAATTCTATCCAAACATAACTGTACTTGGAAAAACTGTATCCGACTATAGCCACCAAAATATTGCTTAAACCAGATTGTAGCTGACAAAATTCTGTCTGAACTTAACTGTAGCCTACAAAATAGAGTGAACTCTCTGAACTCGACCGCAGCCCTAAAAACTCAGATCTATCTGAATCTGACCGAAGGCCACCAAAATTCTTTTTGAATCTGACTGTTGTCAACAAACTTCTATCCGATCTGACTGTAGGCCAACAAAAAAAGTGTTGCCTGAGAAAACATAGTCTGAACTCTCTCTGAACGAAGTGTGACTAATATCTAGTCTATTTGTTCTTTACTCAACTTCAAGCTCCAAGTGTCTTCCTTCGAATGAAGAGCAGATTTTTTGTAAACAATATAGACAGTATTTATTTACAAACTACTGTTTAAAGCACATATTAAAACTCTTTTGGTCCAAAGGTGAGAGGTGTTCAGCATCACTCATGAGCTTATACTGTTACTGTTAACTATTTACACGTGATACTGTTGTCTCCTAAATAAACCTGCTGAGGCTTTAATATGTTAAGTTCGTGGAAATGGACGAAGGTATCATTTGTATTAAAGACATTACAAAAAGCTCAGTGTAAGAGCAGCACAGGTGAACCTCAACGTCTGAGTTGACCCTTTCTTTCTGGACCCTCCACTGCTGGGAATCAACAATTCAAATTAAATCTGAAATCTAAAATGTAAGAAACGCATTCAGGATGCGAATGGTAATGCCGACTGGATGGACCCCAACAGACCCCAAACAGAAGTCGTGCAAATCTCCTGGTGGATGCCGAGCGTACGATGCTAATGCGAGCTAATGTGCCAGAGTGCTGAAGAAATGCTAATGTGGCATTAGAAAGAGGAAATGCTAATCCGGAGGGTCTCTGGGGCAGCAGCATCCTTGCGGGGGGATTTCGGCGGCCTGAGCGGAGGCGTGAACTTCTGCTCTAATAGTTAATTATCTTGACCCATCTGGTCGGGGATGAACTCTGTTTTCTCCTGTTGAGCTTCCAACATCTGCCAGCCTTCCAAAACATCACAATATGGATGAGCTGTCTTAGAAACAAAGTTGTTTCCAGAAGTTTCTTCCCCAAAATATCAGTTGGAGGGAACAACTGCCAAGAGAGCTCACCCTATGAGCTCTGTAGGTGCTGTTTCTGACAGGAGACTATGGAAATGTGTGGCGTCTGCATCTGTTTAAATTGGTTTGGCGGAAAGATGATGAAGATTAAGATGAAGATTATCCGTTTATGATTTTGCTGCAATCAAATAGCCAAACTGCAGACGGACATCAAGCTGCGTTTTGTACTCAAACAGCAGGACAGCCTCATCATAAAGTTGCAGGGGTCAAAACAAACAGTTGTCCACCCACACCATCAATTTATTTCCTTCTTAGGAGTGTTGGTGCTTTATGCTGTTCTACAATTCTGAGCCTGATTGGCTCCTCCGAACTGGACCTGCAGGCTACAGGTCATCCTCAACAGAAAAGGGCAAAGAAATGATGATGCACAAGTGAAATCTAAGACCGCTCCAATACCACAAACTTGAGAAAGGACATAGAGAGAAAAAAAGATCTGCATGCAAGAGCAAACAAAATTACTGAGAAAAAGCAAACCTGACATTATAACGAGCCATGGTGGGATTAATGTGAGTGGGCTGGCACAGTAAAGGCCATTTCCTGAACGTTTTTCATTTCAGCTCATGCAATTCTCTCAATGTTTTGGGGAATTTACAAAGAAATGCTTTGTGTCTAAAAATCTAAGCAGCAAGGGGCAAAACTGCAATCTGTTACAGAAGCACTCCTCTCCTCATGAGTCCTTATTAAATTGGAGTTTTCCACTTGAAGTAGTTTGGGGGACACCACACTACCGGGGGAAGGATTTACTGCACATCTCTGGGACTAGTGATGCGATCGCACATTTCACTGGCTTAAGATGAGCAGCGTCCAATAGAGCCAGAGAGCATACGACTGTGGGCCCCCAAAATTCTGTCTGAATTTGACTGTCAGCCAACAAAATTCTGTATAAATCCAAATGGAGGCCAACAGAACTTTTTCTGAATTTGACAGTAGGCCAATATAATTCTGCCTGAAATCAAATATAGGTAAACAAATGCTGTAAGAATCCAAATGTAAGCCAACAAAATTCGGTCTGAATCTGTCAGCCAACTAAATTCTGTCTGAATTTGACCGTCAGCCAAAGAAATTCTGTCTGAATCTGACTGTAAGCCAACAAAATTCAGTCTGAATTTGACAGTAGGCCAACAAAATTTTGTCTGAATTTGACTGTTGGCCAACAAAGTTCTGTCTGAATTTGACTGTAGGCCAATATATTTCTGTTTGAATTCAAATATAGGCAAAACTTCTGTTGGATAAACTTGAGCCTCCATAACACACTGTTCTCACACTGGCCTCGTGGACTGTGCAAGCAGCAGGTGACTCCAGTGTCCCACTATAAAGGTGTTAGAAAGTAGGGAGACACAACAAAACAGGGAGAAAAACTTCAAAATCTGAAGCTGGGAGACAGGCTACCTCAGGAAACCCGACTGTGAAATCTGAACCTGACTCAAAGCCCAAGAGAAGCAATGTCCGAACCCAAACCTGATGTTAACACATTCAAGCTCTAACACACACACACACACACACACACACACACACACACTGAGAACACTCCTGCTAAGTAAAAGCTCAGTCTCACTCACCGCTGAGCCATTTGGCCTCGGGGTCATGAACCTGCAGCTCCCTGCTGAACAGGTCCTCAATGGTAATTTTCTTCTTTGAGGCCAGACTGTCATCCTCACCTGCAGCAAACAGACACATACATTTACATTCACTGGATAAAAGACAGCAGTAGGACGTCGCCGTCCAAAGAAAAACAAGTATCTCCAAAAAGGTAACTTTACAAGAGAGGGCAAACACGCTCTTTACTTTCAATGTTAGCTAACGTAAAGAGTAATTCTGGAACATTTCTGTTTGTCCAATAATCATGTACAATGTAAAAGACTGCTGGGAATCTTTAACAGCTGCTACTGACACCAGAATGACTGATATTTACCAAATTCCAGCAGGGTCAGATTCTCCTAGATATAAGCAGATATAAGTGTATGGGAACTTATGAACCGTATGAAACATTTCTGTTCTTGCTCTTTTGTGCTATAAAATTATTTCAAGTCATTATGAAGTCAGTTGTTAAATGCAGTTCTTATAAAAGTGAAGGGATATTCCAGAATAAAAAGCCACATTAAGCAAAAGTAGCTTTACTTAAGCATCTAAAATGGTTTCCTTTCATATATATACATACACTATAGCATGATGTATACCAAAACTGCCAGAAATTTTAGTGATACTGCGATACACATGTTTGGCTATACCAGCCACTGCTAAACAACACAAAGCAAGTTGCCAAGGCACATAACAAAATAATACACAGATATTACACTGTATTACAGGTTATAGTTCTTACAACATCTGCCAATATAATGAGACAATTTCACTTGGTAAATTTACTTGAAACAAGTAAAACATGACTAGAAATAAGTTATCTTATAATATTCTTACAATAATCTTAAAATAAGAAATATTAGACACATCAACTAGATTTAAGACTATTTCCAGTGCAGTATACATAGATTACTATGCAAAAGTCAGAGACCACCCTTAATTTATCTAATTTTTGGTCGAAATGTCCAAGTTATTCATTTTATAGCGTCAGGAAAAGTTTTGGAAGCTTTGGAAACTTTTCAAACTTGTATTTAATGGCTGTTTGGTTAGAAATTAAATAAATGAACGGTGGTCTCTGATTTCTGCACAGTACTGTAGCACGTTGAAAACACAGGCGTGCTTTGCAAGCATCAGCGTTGCGGTGCAGAAGCGAAGAGGTTATAGGTTATCGCTTCTGATCTTTAATGCATGTAGACCTGCTCTCATTGAAACAGCAAAAATGATGCACTAATGCAACCTTCTCCTGATCCGCGCTTCCCCACACTGCAGCCACCAATGCAGTTTGAAAACCACTGCTCTCAACAACGGCGTCGCCGGTAGCCTAGTGGTACGAGAAGAGAGCCATCAGCCGGACGGTTGCGATTTGAATCCCATGACTGACTAGGTATACCAGGCTGCCCACTTGATCAAAACACTTAACCCCCACACTGGCCCAGGTGGTACTGCTCTGCTAGCGACGCTGTGCTGCTCCCAGAGTGGGCATAGTTAGGCAGCAAAATAACAAATTTCCCTTGTAGGACCAATAAAGTACATAACATGTATAGACAGGGACAGCAGTACATTATACAAACTCCGGTTATACACTGATCAGGCATAACGTTATGACCTCCTCCTTGTTTCTACGCTCATTGTCCATTTTATCAGCTCCACTTACTATATAGGTGCACTTTGTAGTTCTACAGTTACAGACTGTAGTCCATCTGTTTCTCTGCATACTTTGTTACCCTGTTCTTCAGTGGTCAGGACCCCCATGGACCCTCACAGAGCAGGTACTATTTGGGTGGTGGGTCATTCTCAGCACTGCAGTAACACTGATGTGGTGGTGGTGTGTTAGTGTGTGTTGCGCTGGTCTGAGTGGATCAGACACAGCAGAGCTGCTGGAGTTTTTAAACACCTCAGTGTCACTGCTGGACTGAGAATAATACACCAACCAAAAATATCCAGCCAACAGCGTCCTGTGGGCAGCGTCCTGTGACCACTGATGAAGGACTAGAGGATGACCAACACAAACCGTGCAGCAGCAGATGAGCTATCGTCTCTGACTTTACATCTACAAGGTGGACTGACAAGGTAGGAGTGTCTGATAGAGTGGACAGTGAGTGGACACAGTGTTTAAAAACTCCAGCAGCACTGCTGTGTCTGATCCACTCGCACCAGCACAACACACACTAACACACCACCACCACGTCAGTGTTACTGCAGTGCTGAGAATGATCCACCACCCAAATAGTACCTGCTCTGTGAGGGTCCATGGGGGTCCTGACCACTGAAGAACAGGGTAACAAAGTATCAGAGAAACAGATGGACTACAGTCTGTAACTGTAGAACTACAAAGTGCACCTATATAGTAAGTGGAGCTGATAAAATGGACAATGAGCGCAGAAACAAGGAGGTGGTCATAATGTTATGCCTGATCGGTGTACACTGAAAGCAGTGTTTTCTTCAGGTTACAGAGGTTTCGATGCTGTGCTGCAGCTGAACCAATTTCTTCTTGTAAATGTTCTTGTTCGCTGATGATGCGTACGATGTTGTCGTGGGAGGACGCGGACTAAGTGGTTACGAGAGTGGATGAGTACACAGAAGGGCAAGCGTCATTAGACATTCCATGTTTGACGAGCGTGATTCGGGGAACACGTTTACATCGGAGTACCATCTGCTGTTGATTAAAAAGCAAACGCCTCCACCTTTCCGCTCCTGCCAGCTGAGCCTGGAGTCCGATATGTACGACTGATGGAGAATGACTCAGGTTGGGGGCCTTTGTCTCAGATGCAGGGGGCCATCGGGTTCACGTGAAGCGATATACACATCATTAGTAAAGGATGGTTTTGCTTTCCACACAGCATGACTGTACAAACAATAACAACATCAGATTCAAATCATTACATATCCCCTCCTCTGCTCACACCCACACAAATTACCTGCTTGTTTCAATGATCAGTGAGTGAGAAATAATTGATCTTAACAATGAAGAGCCTGTGTCTCAATGTCTGGTCAGAGGTTCTAATATGTTTAGTCCGAAGAAGGAATCTAGTACAGTAATAAGAGTCAGTACTAAATCAGTAAGATGCTGGGCGTTGTGTTGGGGGCTGGGAGGATATTACTTCACTACTTTTCAAATCATGCTTTGCAAATTTGAAAAGCAAATTCAACTGAAATGGCCATCATTAGAAGGACCATCAAGAAAAACCAAGATTCAGGGAATGGAAAATCTCTCCAAGAGCATGAAGATGAACCACTGAGCGGGACCAAGACTCAAAAGGACAAACTTGTTAAGAGAGCGAGGAAGAACCACTAGCCTAATGTTTACATGCTACATAATCCGACTAATGGCTCAATCGGAATAGAATACGTCCATGTAAACACCTCAATCGGAATAGTCTAGTCCGATTGAGGCCATTCGGAATACAGTTCCTATCCGATTGAACGAGGTGGGTAATCCTGTAAATAATCTGTTAAATAGAAGAATAATATCCGTGTAAACGCCTGTATCTGATTACATTCCCTATCGGAAAGTTTAAGTCCGTTCTGATCATGTTCGTCGCGTCATAGTGAGAGTTTATACCGTTCAACATGGCGGAGCAGAAACTGGTCTGCAGAGGAGGCGAAGTTTATGCTCTGATCTTTAAAAGACGGCGGTGGGACGGACGTCCAGCTTATGTGTCTCAGAACACGACGTCTTCCTCTCGGCCTTCTTTAATGAGGACATGTGAAGGACGTTTTCCTGAGTCTGACATCATTTTAAAGTCATTAAAACACAAGCGCTGCTCACTGCTGCTCATCTCACTCTGACTCACGTGATGCTGGTTGTCATGGTAACATCTACACTAAGTGATTCTCTACACATACATGTAATTTTGAATCGGATTATTTGCAGTGCGCATATAAACAGAGATTTTCCACCAGATTGTTGAGTAAAGTGTATATAAGCACCTCAGTCTGAATCTATAATCGGAATGTATTCAATCGGACTGGAGAAAATCTCTGCATGTAAACACTAACAGAGTGAGGAAGAACTACTGAGAAGGACCAAAACTCAAAAGGACAGACCGCCTAAGAGCACGAGGAACAACACTATAACTCTGTCTCGATGCCCAGCATATTTCACCCCTGCTAAGAGGACAGATGGCACTGGTGGCTTAGACAGACAACACAGACACACTAAAACAACACCTCAGCTTCCCCGTCCTGTCATTTTTTCCCACCTCTTGTTTGTTTTGGGCGTGATATAAAGTTGAGATGGCATTTTACTAGTCCAAGAATACGGGTCTCCAGACTGAGTTTTCCTGTAACGGGCCCTCTTTTATGATAGCAATACAAAAACAAAGCCCAGTAAAACTTCATCATAATGCATCTCTTACGCAACAGTTCTCCAATAAAATGACATTAACTCAAATTAAATAAAGTTCAATCAATATTCATTGCATTGAGATGCATAAAGCTTCTTCATCCAAAAGGGTCATTTCTCTGGCAGGGGATTTTTCAGTGAACAGACAGAGTGATTATGAATAAGTATGTGGGTGTGCGTCTTTTGGGGGTTTCCCAATTTACAGCGTAAATGCTGGAAAATGTTAACTTCATTCTCTTTTTACATTTTTGTTCGTTGCTTCTGCATCATAATACGGCACTGTGAATATTAGCTTCAACACAATATCTAATAGGTAGGATTATCACAACATGACAGTGTGTTGAGTGTACAACCAACTTCAGCTGCGTTCTAAAGCCTAGGCTGCATTTTTCGGCCTCTACGTCACAGAAGACCGTTTCAAAGTGAAGGACACTCCGTATACAGCCTAGAAATGCAGCCTATGTTCTGAGGGATTTTGAGGACGCATCAGATGTGTCCTTCCAGGCCCTCGGTTACCCACAGTTCTCTGTGCACGAACGCAAAGGGAAAAAAAAAGCACTATGAAAATGACGGAAAACAAAGCTGTCGAAACAGAATTTGTTTTAAAATGTGAGTTGTTCACTTATAAAGTGTAAAATTATTGATTAATTAACGTGTTCGTCCATATATCGTATTATATTTTGAAGTATTTGTACATATGTAGTTTATCATACTACATAAGAACATCTCTTCCAT